CCCCTCCGAGTCACCGCCTCATGGAAGCCTTTGATTCCTCGAACTGGCAAAAAGTTCCACTTCCTCAGCGCTCATCACGTGGCCTCTCCTGCTTCCCTCTTTGTTGCTGCTGCTGTGCCAGACTTGCGCTCTCAGGGCCGTGCGCTGGCCGGTAGCCCCGCTGGGCCCTTACACGCCAGGTCCTTGACCCCATCGGTCTTTCTCTGCCCCCCCCCAGACTTGACAACAATGTCTTGTACACAGTAGGTGCTCAACAAACCTGCGTTAGTTGAATCACAGAGTTGAGCAGTGTGGGAAAAATAGGGAGAGGCCTGGCTGGGTGGCTCAGTTGTCTGGAACATCATTCCGTACACCAAAGGTTGCGGGTTCGATCCCCCGTCGGGGTGCATACGGGAGGCAGCTCATTGATGTCTCCCTCCCTCCCTCCCTTCCTCTCTCTCTAAAACCAATATATCAGTATCCTAGGGTGGGAATTAAGAAAAAAAAATTGAGGGAGGGAATTCTTGGTCAGAACAAAGGGATATAATTAGAAAGATGCTTGAACTGCTGCTGTTGTTTATACTCCCAGTTAGCTGCTGTCTCTCTGTTTGAAATGACAGTGCACAAGAGAGATGAACTTTGTGGAACTGGAAGTTACAGTGGCTTTGATATAAACCAAATTTATATAAGATCTTAATTGCCTGAGAGTGGGCATTGCTTATCCCTACCCAGTCCTCTCACACACACGCACACACACACACACACACTCTCTCTCTCCCTCTCTCTCTCACACACACAAACACACACTCAGTCTCCACCCACTAAATGCTTCTTAGGACTTGGGAAATCTTGTTTTCCTGCTGCCTTATTTTATTTGGGAGAAGAGGCGGAAGAAATTTGAGAGAGGTCAGTGTCGGCGCTCAGCCTGTGTCTGGTGAGCTGCATAATTGATGTTCTCGTGCTCAAATAGATAGCCCAAAGGATAAAATGAGAGTTTGGGAGTCTGCCTGCCAGATTTAGCCTGCTTTCCTTTTCTTTAATTTTATCCCCTCCAGGAAAACCTAAGCAACATCCAATTTCCCTTCCATTCTGTGCGCCGCGGCTCCGTGGACTCTTAGCACCCCCGCCTCTCCTCTGCCAGCCTCTGCGGTGCCTTTCCTGTCTCCACTAGGGAACCGCGAATGCTCGCTCCTCCTAAAACCTGCCCCGAGTAGAGATCAGGTGATGTTCTCCCTGCCTTACGTGAGTCATTTCATCACCCACCCCCCCCAAAGCAATCAAAACAGGAACCCATTTATAAGCAAAAATACTTGAGCAATTAAAATACTCTGAGCTGTGAAAACAGGAACTGGCCCGTGAAGGCTGACTTCTCGAGGAGCTGGCATGGGGCCGCCTTCCTCCTGGCCTGGACGTTTTGCAGACGGCCGAGAGAATGTCAGGGGCAGAGCGCTGCGCAGAGTCCCAGCTGTGAGGCCTTGGACGAGTCATTCTGCTTCTCTGTGCTCGAGTTTCTGTATTTGTAACAGGATAGCGATGCTTTCCCCGTCATTTTCAGGGCAGAAAAAAGTTAAAATAACTTACACGTGAAGTGTGTGAGTAAAGCATTGATTTTGACGACGGAGTGCAGAGGCCCTCAGGGAAACAGTGTTATTCCCGTTTGTTTATTGGTGCCGGTTTTCGGGTATGTTCCGTCTGATTAAATGCCAGCCGAAGTTGAAGGTCAGCTCTGTTTAAAAGTAGGGCAGGGCATTAGGGGCATAGAAATGAAAGCCACGATGAGATTTACTCTATGCCTCTCAGTCACAGTGGCTAAAGTAAAAAAAAAATAGTGACCACACCAAAAGCTGGCGAGAATGTGCATAAGTCAGATTATCAAGCCTGGTTAGAGTGGTTTGGTTTGTTGGAATCGTCCTGTGCACTGAAGTGTTTCCAGTTCAGTTCCCGGTCAGGGCACATATCGGGGTTGTGGGTTTGGTCCCTAGCCAGGGAGCAAATGGAAGGCAAGAGGTCCATCTCTTTCTCCCCCCCCCC